TATTTTATAGCTGTTTCTGAGAAAAGAAAACATCAAGAAATCATCTCCGTCACACTTTGTTGTGACGGAGATGATGATATACTCATAAATGTGAATCTTAGTAAATTTAAAAGATAGATTATATTATATAAATATAGAAAAATAAACATTCAGCAAAAAGGTTTCTAACAACATAAACCAGATCAATTATAATTGTTATTATATATTCTTTTTTGAGGAAAGAAAACATCAAGAAGTCATCTCCATCACAGTAAAATTGTGATGGAAATGACTGTGACGGAGATGAGGAATTAAACTTCTTAGATCATATAGTGCCATATGCAGTGTGTTACAGGGTGAATGTCATGTGTACTTTGAAAATGACACAGTTCTGATCGTATATATAATTATTTTTTTCTAAAAAAATTATAAATAAAGGATACTCTGAAGCTTTCGGAGATGATGCTGAATAAAGGTACTTTCCTAGTTGTTATTAGAAAAGCATGAATTCTTCAGCTATAGGTGGTTTAACTGTACAAGAATGGACTGTTTCTTACTGTATGGTCCTCTTCAACCAAAATGGTTTGATCCATAAGTTGTTATGTCATTTTGCTAACAGCTATAATGGCATTTTAAAGTATTGTGACGGAGATGATGACAATTCAGGGACAAATTTTATGTATTTATAGATCTATTGATATCATTTTTAATTTTAAATTTGTAAGACATCTATTGTATTCACCTTTTTGTGGTACATTTATTTATTTAAGTTATTTATTTTACAAATTATGACATTAGGAATTTTTAAGAAATCCAATCGGGACATGCAAAGTGCGCGACTTTGGAGGCTTTTTGATGAAAAATAAACAGCATGTTGATTACTTTTAAAATATTTAACAAGTTATTTCATTAACAAATATGTTCGAGATTGCATTAACGCAATAAAAATAAAACTTCCTTTAATATTTTAAAATTTATACTACATCAAAACAGAGGGACGGGAAAATGGCACTTTACTGAAGAATGACCCTAAAACGTCTCAGAATAGCTAAAATAACGCCAAAATGCCCAGTTTTTCTTGGCCCAATGTGGCATAGCCTCCGGGTCTCCACCGTGCTGGTCTCTGCTGGAAATTTTCAGACTAATGGATAGCTCTCCCCCTCGGACACATTCTGGCTCCTTAATATCAGTGCAGTTGTGTTCGAACCTACCAGGTACCCACTTGTACTCCTGGGTGGAGAGAGGCAACTGTAGATAAAAAGTACCTTTGCCCAAGGACACATGCGAGTTTCAGACCCCCGACCTTGAGGTTTGGAGTCCAAGCCACACCCGATGTACCAACTGCTTCTACAAATAAAAACCTTAGCCTCAACCATAATTGCGGGTCTGTGATGTTTCCCTCCATTCTGTGGCCCTATATTTTGTATTGCTCCTGTGTATTATTTTAACACAAAATTGGCAGGTATTCATCGTCACCACCACATCATTATTATCATCACCATCATCGTCATCATCACCATCAATATCATCACCAACATCATCACCATTATCACCATCACCACAATTATCACTATCAATCATCATAACCACTATCGCTGCCGCCATCTTCACCATCATCACCATCGACATTATCATCATCATCACTAATCAGCATTATCATCACCACTGTTACCACCATCACAATTATCATTCAATATTTTTTTTGTCATGTGCCACAGTCTCTCTGTGTAAATAGGACTTGCAGCATGGACTACTACAGAGGGACCACAGAGCCCAGTGAAATTTTATATTCAAATTATAATTTATTTACAGGGTTACCAAGATGGCGACAAGTTAATCAGTTTTTGGAAGATGTTGATGAGAAAGTCCTAACTTTATTATTTCTACTCCCACAGTTATCCAAACATTACATAATGTTGTGTTCACTTCACTCTAAACCTTTGGAGTTGTACTGTCAAGATTGTAAAGCTCCAATTTGCATTCATTGCACATTCATAAACCACAAAGTGTGGGAAGGGAAGCACAAAACAATCAGCATATCAGATGCTTTCCAAATATTTAAAGAAACTTCATCAACATTGGAGGAAGCTGCCCATGACTACGAAAACAAATTACAAAATGGCCTCAAAGCAATTATTGACAATACTGCAAAATTAGAAGGAAGTAGAAATAAAAGTTTGCAAGATATTGACAGTCTTGTGCAGGAAATAAATCAAATAATTATGAAAAAAGGAGATGAAATGAAGAATAATGTAGAGATAATATATGAACAGAAAAAGCAAGTAAATGATGTACAAATGGATGAATTGAAAACAATAATATCTGAAGTTAATAAAAAATTGAGTTTTATTAAACAGTTATTAAAGAGTGATGAAGCAACAGCAATGCAATCAAGTGAAACAGTAATGAAAGCACTGGAGGGCAGAATCAATGAAATGCCTAAAACAGAGCCAAATGATAATGGACAAATGTTCTTTTTTCCAAACAAACAGTATATTTCTTCCTTGCATGAATGTGACCTGTCTCTTATACACATCTAGATGTGTATAAGAGACAGCTATTACAATGATGGCATCATTATGAATTACAGTTTCTTTTATAATTACCAGACATAAAACTAATTTAAAACTCCTTGAAAATATAACAAAAAAATAAATAAAATAAAAATAAATTGGAAAGTGATTATTACAACATAAAACTATATTCAAAGCACTCTACTGTAATAGTCACAATGAGTTCCATTCAGATCAGCATGCTCCTGTATGCCCTGAACAACTGCCTTCTCTGGGTCTCCATCCTGACCTCATGACCATTTCAATATTTCTAAGCGCCTCCCATTTCAATATGCTGCCAAAGGCAGGATGTTGGAGAATTAGAAGTTTTCTTCTACATTTAATACCCTATTCAGACTACA